TCATTAGTAAAATGATTGAATGCACAAACTAGGGCATAAAAACGTAACTGGAAGAATATGCCCCAGACTTATCTGTTCATCATGACTGTCTTTGGGAGGTGGCTTTATAAGAAGGGACAGTCACTATCTATGTTTTTTTCCCTTTCTTTTTGAAAAATGAATGTAAATGACATTTGTGAACAGAAAATTTAAAGTGCACCGTGATTAGTGATAGTGTTCTTAGACGAATAGCAAATTACAATGAGATTGGTAGAGAAAACATGTAACAACTTTCTATTATACACAAAAAATACACTTGAACAGGGTGGTCCAATAGAACTTCAGTCATGGATATGACCTGTATCTGTGCTGCCCAACGTAGTAGCACTAGCCATATGTGGCTACTGAGTACTTGAAATGCAGCTAGTGCAACTAAGGAACTTAATTTTTAAAATTTAATTTAATTTAAACTTAAATAGCTGCAGATGGCTGTAACATACTGTATTTGGACACACAGATCTAAAACTTTTCATTTGCTGGGAATCAAAATAAGAGTGTCAGCAGGGGCAGGGAGAGACGACCAGATTTGGATGCCAAGAGATTTACATTAAGTCATGTATTGTTTTGTTATCTATCCAATAGAGATAGTCTATCTATGTACTCTGTTTTAAGAACGAAGTGAGAGAAAACACTTCTCTACACTTGTAAAGGCCACAGCATTAACTTCATCTTCAACACGCCTTTACAGCTTCCTAACATTCAAGTGCCCCATTGATAGAAGAGGGAACTGAGCTATTAGAAAAGCAGTAATCACCTCGTGAGACTTCTCCCACCAAACCACCAGCCACTCGGTACATATTTTTCTTCTTAACTTTTTTAGAATATCCATAAAATTAGTATATGTAATACAAGTCCCCGAATACATTAGACTGGGTTGAAATTGCAGTGCAATGTAATATACCTGCACAATTTGCCAAATAGATAATAAAGGTCAAGGTGGGCTTGGGGGTGAGAAGCCAGATGTCTCAAGAGGACCATCCTGGTATGTTCAGCTAAACCACAGCAAGATTTATTATTTTTTTCTTTCTAGTTGTCATCTTAACTGGTATATAGCATGTCTGCTGCAAGCTGTTGGCAACTGTCCCAAGAAAGCACCGATTATGACAGTAAGCTATGTTTCTCCTCTGTTGCTCGTTTCACCCCAATGCTGGAACCAGAAGTTCAACAGTGAAAGCTCCAGCTGGCAGATACCAGCAATCAGAGATCTTTACAAATGGCAGTAACAACCCAATTGACTTTCCTTCCTCCAACACTGCGCCATCTATCACTTCTGCCATCAAACATTCTGGAAGAACAATCAATCCTCTGATTTGGTTTCCCAGGGAAAGCAGTTGTTTGGCCCAGTGTTTTATTAACATCAGGTTCTCCTGTTTCTTACTCTTGCTCTTGAATCCAAATACCTTGACCACTTTGCATGCACCATGGTTGGTACCGGAAGGCACAGTCCATCTTGGTTGGGTATTTTGCACTGTCACAAAATATAGTTTTATGAATAACAAAACAAAAACAACTCTGAGATCCTAAAACTAATATCTAAGAGATTCAATTCTCATCAGGTGTTATTATTCAGTCAAAAATGATGTTGTCTGTAAGTATAGATTTAGCGCTATATTACCAAAAGCTTGTTTTTCTGATTTGCTGAGAAGAAAATAAATCATTAATCCTACAACTGTGGCTCCAACTCTTATAACATTCTAGGACCTTTTTGGATAATAGAATAGGAAGGATGTATTTAAAACTATAGGACTCCTCTTATAATCCCCAAATTGCACACTACAGATACATCCTTTACAAATAATTTCAAGGGGTTCCTTGCTCCCTGAAACCTACTTAGAAATTGCAAGTTAAGAATTCATCCACCAAACACTTTCAACAATAAAGATAAATTAAAAGGAAAAAAAATCACCCTAGCCTGTTTTGGCTCATGGTTAGAGCATCGGCCTATGGACTGAAGAGTCCTGGTTTGATTCCGGCCAAAGGCACGTACCTCAGTGTGTCTCTCTCACATCGATGTTTCTCTCTCTCCCTTCCACTCTCTCTGAAAAGCAATGGAAAAATATCCTCGGGTGAGAATAAAAAAAATTTAAAAAAAAAAGATTTCACCCACCACCTCCTACTATTCCCAAAAGGCTTTACTGCTTCACATTAATAAAAAATATAAAATCCTCTATAAGGAGTATCAATACATTTGCCTTTCTAACAGTCCGATTTCCGCTAAAATTTTAAACCAAGACATGTTAGGGAAAATGAAAATCATTAAAATATCTTTAAAGCTATTGCCTGGGTAGAGTCTGACTATATGATCTCCTAACTGTGGAAGCATGACAATTAGCTGGAAGAATGCAGGTTTTGGACACTGGTTCTGAATGTTATGTGCTGTATAACTACTTTACCTAATTTTTCTGAGCCTGCTTTCTCGTCTGTAAAATGAGTATATTACCTATGATAGGGAGCTATTTGGAAGACAAACAATAAATTAAGACACCCGACACAAAAAACGTTGGGTTAAGACTTTTAAAAATCAGGACTATGGTGTCCAAATCAGTCAAGATATTAGTAGAAAACAGAGAACACACTCAAACTGGGTAACTTGAGGAAGGTTTAATAAAGGGACTACTTACAAAGACATGGGCAGAGTTCAGGGAAACCAACAAGGAATGACGGAGTAATCCAGAGCTAGTAAAGGAGTCGTCCTTCTTGTCTCTAGATTGAAGGGGCAAAGAGAAGGAGCTAGAAGCTAGACAGAGCTGCTTAATAGGGGTCCTGGTCTTTGGCAGAGGGACATAGACAACCCACGTGACCTGGCAATGAGGAAGCCAGGAGAACAGATTCCCTGACCATCCTTTTCTCATGCTTTTTCATCATCTGAGGGTGTTACTAATTGGATGAACACAACCTGAAGGGAGAGGGAAAAGGAGCTTTTAATGCCCGCCACATGGGTCAACAACTCCTGGGGCGCAGAACAGGATGCAGGAGTTCTGAAGGGAAAATGGAAGATATTCAACACAACCTCTTGCCAAACATAATTCAAACTACTGAACTGTTACACACAAAACTTGCATGTATGCTGAAAATATTTTCTTTCCAGAATTTTTTAAATTTTTATTTTTTTCCTAGGGAAGGGAGAAGGGAGAGAAAGGAGAGATGAAAGAGAGGGGAGAGAGGAGAGACTTCCCAGAATTTCTGATTGTAAAATTCTGTGAGTTCTTTAATTAAAGCAGAATTCTTCTCAGTCGTTTGGTGGCCCTGCTCTGCAGCTTCCGTAAGCACATGCCTGGTCAACCTGCAGGGCAGCCCTGAGCATGGCGCCTGTGTGAGGAAGCCTCAGTGTATGGGAACTGCTCTCAGTTCCTGAGTGCTGACTCTCAGGGGCTCTGAGAGAGTTTTGAGAGTCCAGAACTAATTTAGAAGGAATCGTAGGATTTTCCCATTTAGGTACTATTCATTAGGAACTCAGGAACTGGATTTTCGTAGACTCAAAAAATCCTATGGTAGTTAAACTTACAATCCTACTGAATGATAGGAAAGTTTTTAGTTTCTCATCAAAGAGATAAAAGAAATCAGGACATCAATTTCACATTGACATTTTTATTAACGCCAACTGTTTTTTAATTATTATTTTTTTAAAACAATAGCACAAAAATGTTTCAAGGAAGCAGTCTCACAATCTGATGACCTTCTGAAATACAGTTAAGCCACACCAAATATGAATTTCTGTTAATAACACAAAAAATATTTTTAAAAGAAAAATAAAAGAGGGGAAAAAGAAAAGAAAAATTGTAGGGACAGAGAAAGGAAGGAGATTTAGAGTTAAAACTCACTGGGTTAGATAGGTGAGGCTTGTTAGTAGGATACACCGTTGTAGAGAAGAGTGGACACCACAGGCGTATAGTCTTGTTGCTGTTTTTAGCCAGTTACCACTAATATACAGGCCAGCGGTTACCACTGGCTTCTTACATGCCCAAAATGACCCAGGAGAAGCCAGTGTTGATACTGTCATTAAGAGGTTTGATAGTTGGCCTATAAGACAACTAAGACCATTTTCAGCAGAGTAACTCCTTCAGAAAGGCCTGGCTGAAAACCTTTCATTTCTGTTCTCACCTCTATGCCTTTCAGGGTTCTTAAAAGTCATCTTAAAAGAGAAAGAAAAAATAACATATATCAGTTTCTCTTATTTAATGTGGCTATAAAAGATGTTCCTTATTATTTCTTTATTTCTAAGAAGGACACCGGGGGGTGGGTGCTGGGGAGGAACTAAGGGGAGGAAGAAACCCAGACCAGGATAGGTTGTTTTTGTTTTTTTAACCTTTTTTTTTTCTTTTTTCTTTTGCCAAGGGGTCACACAGAAGGGAAGGCAAGGAGGAAAACTACAATCCTTGCTGTGGATTGAGTTATGCAGGAAAATATGTCTTCCTGATCAGTCCCCATGCCAAAAAACAAAAACAAAACCCAAAAAACCCACTTGGAATTATGCACAGACTATGTTATACCAGCTATCAGTCTTTCATGTTTAACCATTCCCCGCAATGGACACTACCCTTGGCTTGTAGGCTGCTTGCAGAACCCAGAACCCACTTCACAAAAATCCTCTTCACCCAGAAGCCTCGAGTTTCCTTTTGGTAGGTTATAAAAACAGAACATCTGTCATTAACAGAAGAGTGTTAAATACTTTTAACCACTGACAAGGCTTCAGGAAGTTTCACAGTTTCATTATGCTCTATTTTATTACTATCATATTTACAGTTTTATTTTTTATCCTTTTTTTTTTTTTTTTTTT